CCAACCCAAAAGACCTGAAGAGGAGAAAACCCCCACCCACCCAATTTTGATTCCTCTTTTTATATGTTTTTTTCTCCTCCCCCTGGGCCTGCCCTATGTAAATTGGGCTAGCCAGGAGGGCTGTTTGTTTTATCTGAGGTTGTCACTCCCATCATCCTCAGACCTTCCTTTGTTCTATTTTCGCTGGCTTTTCCCTTCTTTGTCTTTTAGCCACTGCTATTCTAGACTCCTTTTTCCTATTCTAACTACCTAACAATACAAAAGAGCATTCTGCCTACCTCTTCTGCTTTCCAAGTTTGCAGTTAATTTTCCTGACAGTGCTTTTTTTTTTTTTCAAAGAGTAAAATCAAGTACAATCACTTATTACTTTGGGTGGGGGTGGTAAAATTTAGATATTAAAAATTCTTCTTATTAGAAAGTCTGGGGACATTTTCCTAAATTCAGAAAAGGACAGGTTTGTTGGAAGAGGGAAGTGGGGACGAAGGATGCTAGTTTCAGACACTTTAATTCTGACTCGTTAGAGGGACTCCACTGGCCAGATGTTGAACATGGTAGTTTAGGTAGTTTTGTCCAGTTCTTCTAGATAGTGTAAAAGTGTCCCTGTTGAAAGTCAACAACAACAAAAAATGTTTTATGTATATATTTGGCTGCGCTGGGTCTTAGATTCAGCACGCAGAATCTAGTTCCCTAACCAGGAATTGAACTGGGCCTGCTGCATTGGGAGCATGGTGTCTTAGCCACTGGACCACCAGGGAAGTCTTGAAAGTCAGCATTTTTAAAATGATTTACCTTGCTTTAAAATGCCTTTTCTAGCTACATAAAAAGGGGTCTCTATATTTTCTGAGAGTGTGATGATGCTGTTTTTTGGAGGGAGATCTCTGGCAACTGGGAGAAGAATCAGCAGTGGCTTCACTGTCTGGTTTATTCACCTTGATGTTCTGTTTGGAAACAGATATAAATTGAGATTTCTTACGTGTTGAATTTTTTCAAATTTATTGAGACTCTCTCTTTTGCTATTGGCTCTTAGCAGGAGGCCTTGAATAATGCATGGAGTGGTTGCTTCTATTGATAAACACAGTTAATTTTAATTATAGGACTAAGATTTATGCTAATCTTTTTTCTTTGTTTTTATGATTTTGAGTATACATGTGAATTAATGGCTTTTAACTAAAGAGGGGAAAATGTCTTTTGGGGGCTTAAAGACATGTTTGGCTGTATTGGCGTGTATGGATTTTTCTCTCTATGTCTGTCTGTTTTGTTAATGTGCTGGGTTGTTGGTATCTGAGCCACATTTCACTGAAATGACCCTGGTTTACTGGGAAGTGCTCATTAAATATTTGGTTCAGTTATTTTAAGGTGGTGTTTTGGGGCTTCCCTGGTGGCTCAGATGGTAAAGCATCCGCCTGCAATGTGGGAGACCTGCGTTCAGTCCCTGGGTTGGGAAGATCCCCCGGAGAAAGGAACGGCTACCTACTCCAGTATTCTTACCTGGAGAATTCCATGGACAGAGAAGACTTACAGGCTGTAGTCCATGGGGTCACAAAGGGTTGGATACAACTGGACTGAGCGACTCTCACACTTTGGGGGGGTCAGTTCCTTGTGAGGGACGGTCACTTCCTTGTGAAGGATCATGTTCTTTCTTTATTTCATGAAGATTCTAAGAGGGTAGCCACCTAGTGGGAGACCAGCCCAAAAGCTCTCAAATTGAAGATTTAGAATTTGATATACAATTATTCCAAAAGAGGTTTAAAAACCAACCGTGGTCAAGGAACATGAAAAAGTTTCAGCTCATACTCACTGCTCTTTACCAGGTGGTGTGGGTTCTTAGTGACAGGGAACCCTGGGGACGGCAGGCAAGGTCTCTGCATCACTAAGTGCCAGGCAAAATGATTATCATTCACAACTGTTCTTGTCTGTTTTCTGTTTCATACCTGTGATTTTTTGCTTTTGGGTTTTTTGTTTGTTGGAGGGGAGGAGTTGTCAGTTAATGTGATAGCTATCAACAGAAACTTAGTTAATGATGGGAAAGGCCATCCTCTCTGATTCATTTCTTTTTAAATATCACTAATTTATACCCCAATTTATACTTTTGTAGGTGGTTTATAAAAATATATACAATATGAAAAGATATAAAAACAAATCAGGACATGGGGTGAAGGAAGACATGCCTACTGCATGCTATGTACTGTTTTCTGTGCCTGGAATATTCCAGTAAACAAAACAGACAAGTGAAATAAATATTTGGTAATTTTATAATAGTAATAGAAAAACCCCAATAACAAAACAAACTTATTGTCCTTATGGAGGACATAGCCTGGGATAAAAGGAGATAGTGAACAAATGCACACATAGATATGTGATACGGTGTTATTTTGAGCTCCACGGCCAACAGTAAAGAAAGGTTGGGATGAGGGTGGGGTGGAAGGAGGGGAGGAGTTGCTATTTATAAGTAAGGCCTCTCTGAGATGACATTTGATCCGAGCCCTCTATGAAGTGAGGAGTGGATCATGTGGCATCTGAAAGAAGAGTTCCAGGTTGAGGCAACATGAGGTGTGGGGCTTGAAGGCCTCTCTGTCAGTGAGCGGAGTAGCCAGGAGGCTGGGGGAGCTGGAGTGGAGTGAGCAGGAGAGTGGGAGGAGGTTGGGGCCGTCATGGGTCATTGTAAGAGTGAGCTTTGAAGCTGTACTGAGAATGGTCTCTAGTGGGTAAGGGAGGAAGCGGGGAGCCCTGGTAGGAGTGGAGGCTATTGTACTAATTCAGACAGGAGACGCTGGTAACTTGGGTTGGGGGTTACTAGTGGAGGTGGTAAGTAGTAGTTGGATTCTGTATATATTTTGAAGGAAATGGTGGGAGGAGAGAATGCTTGACAAACTGGCAATGAAAGGGAACTTTCGCAACCTGATAAGGGGCATCTACCCATATCCCTGGTGGCTCAGCTGGTAAAGAATCCGCCTGCAGTGCGGGAGACCTGAGTTTGATCCCTGGTTTGGGAAGATCCCCTGGAGAAGGGAAAGGCTACCCACTTCAGTATTCTGCCCTGGAGAATTCCATGGACTATACAATCCATGGGGTCTCAAAGAGTCGGACATGACTGAGCGACTTTCACTTTCACCTAAATTCCACAGTCCACATCATGCTTCATGGTAAAAGACTAAATGCTTTTCTCTGAGAGCAGGAACAAGACAAGGATGTCCCGCCTCTTGCCATTTCTGTTGAACATCATGCAAGAGATTCTAGCCATGGCAGTTAAGCAAGAAAAAGAAATAAAAGACATCCAGATAGGCAAGAAAGAAGTAAAACTATTTCTGTTTGCAAATAACTTGGTCTTGTATATAGAAGGGCTTCCCAGGTGGTGCTAGTGGTAAAGAACCTGGCTGCCAATGCAAGAGAACTAAGAGGCTCAGTTTCAATCCTTGGGTCTGGAAGATGCCCTGGAGGAGGGCATGGCAACCCACTCCAGTATTCTTGCCTGCAGAATCCCATGGACAGGGGAGCCTGACCGGCTATAGTCCATAGGGTTGCAAAGAGTCAGAAACAACTGAAGCGACTTAGCACACATGTATGTAGAAAATTCTAAGGAATTTACTTTAAAAACTATTAGAACTAATAAATGGCTTCAGCAAGATAGCAGAAAACAGGCCAATATACAAAATTCAATTGTAGTTCTATACATGAGCGGTGAACATTCCAGAAATGAAATGAAGAACATAATTCCAGTTAATGCCATGGAGAGGCATTGGAGAGGGAGGGTGGTGGTGGGAACGGAGTTGAAACAGGAGGGAGGGAGAGAATGTGGGGGGTAGGTGTGAAGATAGAAGGAAGACAGGTCTGAGGTCAGAGCCCCAGGTCATCAGTATTTAAAAGTCTGGAAGAAGAGAAGTCAGGCATCTGGACAACCAAAAGAAAGTCATTTCCTGGGGGAAAATGTTTGCAGAGAGGAGGTCTGCAATATGTAGTGTACTGACTGAGGACTCACAGCTGAATGCATGGATTAGTCCTGGATTAGCAGGGGAGAGAAAGGATGAGAGAGGGAGCAGCAAGGAAGGGGTCTGTCCAGACCAACACCCTTGTAAAATACAACAAAAATTGAGTACCAAAAAAATGAATATGCAAGCCCATTTTTTTCCTTATTAGATTCAACAGACATGAATATTACTCTCAAACTATTACAAACACTCACTCAGCTTCTGTACCTGCCCCATCGTAGTCTATAGCAGTTTGAGGAGATGGATGAGTACCAGTCTGTGCACCCACTTTGTGTTGTGAAGGTGTTGTGTAGGCCTCAGATTGGCCAGGGGAGCATGAGAGGAAATTCGTTCACCGTGGATTTGGCACAGCATCTGTGCTGGATGGCAGGAGGTATTTGTTAGAGAATAAATGTCCATCTCAGGCTCCAAGAGACTATATATCTCCTTGTTCAGAAAGCGTGAAGCCTGAATTTTGGTCCCATTTGGTTTATCATCATGAGCAAGTCAGAAATCACAGGATGTATATTCTGAGCATTATCCCTGTCTATAAATGATAACAGCTATCTGCTTTCTTCCTCTGAATCCTGACATTTCTGTGGTATTTTAGTCTGAATTGCTCATTTAAGCCTCATAGAGCCTTGTAAAGTGGGTGGATTTTGCATTTCTGTGAAGAAAGGAGTTCCGAGAGGCGAAGCAACTTCTCCACCCTCATCCTGCTTGGAAGTGATGGAGCTAGGACCACCATTTTAGACCCATGCACTTGCCACCAGACTGGGCTGTGTGATTTTTAATCGCTTTTCAGATAGGCGCTTACTGTCAGCTCTAGTATGTCCTGTTTTGTTATGATTTGCAGGTTGAAGTTACTGTCACGTTGCGGGTGTGTGTGTGTTCTCAGCATAGCAACTAAATAGAGGTTTGTCTTTAAGTCTGAACAGTTGCTGGATTCCCTTCTCCTTGGCATTAAATTCTGAACAGAAGTACTATTTATTTCTAGAAATGCTGCCTAGTAACTGAGTTTTTCCTCTTCCTTAGTGTATGAATTATTTGCTTTCATCAGTCACATGGGAACGTCCACAATGAGTGGCCACTACGTTTGTCACATTAAAAAGGAAGGAAGGTGAGTCTTTTTTTTTTTTGAGTCTTTTTAAGAAGGTAAAATGATATCTGTGTTTTATTGAGCACCTGCTATGTGCCAGGCACTCCATCAGGTGTCTCATGTGTCATCTCATTTGGTTCTCACAGTGGTCTCGTAGGGATAGACTCTCAAAGCCATTTTATACATCAAGACTACGTCTGAATTTCAGATGATGAATAACTTTTTAGTATAAATATGTCTCAACTATTACATGGGACATCCTTATATTAAAAAAGTATTTGTTGCTTATATGATACTCAAATTTGACTGGGTATCCTGTGTTCTGTCTGGCAGCTCTAATACCCAGTGTTCGCCCTGTTGTAGTCTTGGCTTCAAGAATTGTGAGGGGTGTGGTGAGCTGGGAATGAGAAAGTTGTGGGGTGTCAGGCCGCTGCTGTCTTCAGAGTCTTCTTCCTGGGCTGGATCCCTCAAGGGCCCCCCCTGGTTTCCCTTCCTTGAACTCCGACTGAGTGGCCTGTGCTGTGGGTCAGCTCTCTTGAGGCAGCGCTTGGTCACATGGACACTGAAGAACCACATAACCTTGGCCTCTCCTGGTAGGATGCTGACCTCTTGCTGCGGGAGTGACTGGTCTCCAGCCAGAAATCCACTGTGGTCCTTTTCCATGTGTCATTTAAGTCTTGGCTTCTCAGCTTGATTCATAAAATAGTTGAGCACATGAACTTAATTTATAGTGAATTCATTTTATTACCAAGCAGGACAACTCTTTTAAAAATACATTTCTTAAGAAAAATAGCTTAATTAGAATAGAAAACGCAGTGAATTTCATCATAAGGAATTTGTAAGATACAAAATCACATGAAGAATATATTGTCTGGAAGCCAAGAGAGAACTATAGTCTCTATTTTGATACATTTCTGTTTTACTGTTTTCAATGGGAAGAGTGTATGTGTTTGTCTGTATGCACGCATATGTATGTATTTACAACTTTTCTAAAAGCTTGAAGTTCGTACACAGTAAGTACAGTTTTGTAGTCTGCTTTTTCCCGCTTCATATTATATTATTTTCTCACTCTACCAAATATCATTTGAAGACATTTTAATGGTTGTATAATTGTTCACTTCATGTCTATTTATGACTGAAATAGACACATATGTCTTTGACTCCATTTCTGAGGCCATGTAGGGACGTCTACAAATGGAAATGTTTGGAGGCTCCTTTAGGAACTACTTTTTGATTGAACTGAGAATAAAAAAGCAGTGTAGTTTCCCTCCAGCATTCTGTTTCCTTTTATGCAATAGACTTGAGTTTGGTTTATCTTAAAACATCTTGATTATTTTAAGTATGGTGCAGTAACTTTCTCCTGCGGTTTCCTAGAACTGACTTAAATCCACCACTCGCTTCTGTTTTTTGTTTTCAGATGGGTGATCTACAATGACCACAAAGTTTGTGCCTCAGAAAGGCCCCCTAAAGACCTGGGCTACATGTACTTTTACCGCAGGATACCAAGCTAAACCTCAGATGTACAAATTGGAGAGAAGAAGCCGTACGCCTTTTTAATTTGCAAAAAAAAAAAAAAAAAAAGCAAGAGGTTGGGGTAGCCAGACATGAGGGAATACATGGGGTATTTATAGTTTATTTAAAGAACATCATTTGACGCCTTCTAAAATAGAACTGGGAGGAAATTTCTATTAGTGATGATACACTACTGTAGATAGTTTTTCTTTTTATAAATGTTTAAGAAGAAGATGATTTTAAAAAAGTATTCATATTCCTGGTGGGGGATCTTCCACTAGCACATTGAAAACAGGAAGTGCCATCAGACCCCTGTGCTCGGCTTTGGGGGTCAGTGATAGTGGTCCCCAGAGAAACCAATAGGGCCAGTTGTGTAGCCTCACCCACCATAAACAAAAAGCCCACTTTTGTTTCATATCGAAAATCAGTAACTGGGCTGAGCTCTATTTGTGACATAATTTTTTTCATGACACAATAATTTCTGATCTCTCCGTGTATAGTCGATAAGAACATCAGCAATGAAAGATATTTTTAATTTAATCATATCAAAATGCATAATACAACTGTATGAATGTGTGTGAGAGTGAGACTGAGTGTGTGAGACCTTTATAGTCAACTAGAAAAGCTGTGACGGGTTGGTTTTTCAAGGTTAAAATAGTTGGGAAAAGCAAGTAAATATTTTAAAGAAACTATATCTCAGGAACAGTTTAAAAAAAGTTAGTTCCCCATTTAGGTTTTCTGGCATTAGAAGGGCTGTTGTCCCTTGCAGTGCCGTCTAGAATTCACTTGGATTTGTGACGTTTGGTGGTATGAACGCAGATGCCCCCAGCAGCACAGTGTTTTCTCTGCCAAAAGTAGATGAATTCTGTATCTCAGCAGCCCTTCCCACTAAGGCATAGGCGTGTGTGTTTTTAGTTAAAATAGCTGATCTCTTCTTACCATAACACATGACAACTCCCTGGAATCATTTCAAGTGTCCCAAATTTGTCCATCATTTTCTCATCCCCTAGCTCGTCGCTTGCCTCCATGTCTCTGTTTTCTGGGGCAGAATTTCATCTCTGCCCTTGGCTAATCATCTCCTGACTTGCCTCCACTGCTTCTCTGCCATGACCTATAGTGTGATCGTCAGCAGTTTAAGGGTTTCAGATGCAAAGAAACTTTCTATGATGCTATGAAAGACCATCGTTTCCATTTTGGCATTTCAGTATTTTAGTTGCAACCTGGGATTTGATCAGAGTTTCAGATGTGATGAAAAAGTGGAACGGCAGTCTCTCATTTTTCTGCTGCTCTATACCGAATGCTAGGGTCTCTGGAGTTTCTATTTCAGATTGTGCAGTCAAATAAAAAAGGACTTATTGCTGTCTGCTTAACACGCATTTGATTGGTTAGAAAGGATCTTTCTGGAAGCTGTAGGAAAATAAAGTAGAACCAATGGGGTGAAATATAGCACAGAATTTCACAAAATTCTGTAAATCCAGAAACTGAATTATGAGATGTGCGTTATGAACAGTCAGGATTCTGGTGATGATGGGGGCCCTTCTCATGGGAGATCTGTTAGGCCTGTGGCCTGGGGACCTGGGTGCTGTCCATGGCTGGGCAAGTCCCCTCATCCCCCCGTGTCTCACTTCCCTTCTCCACACAATGGTGTGATGACTCTGCCCTTCCTTTCCGGGTGCACTTTGAGAATGTGGTGAGATCTGATAGGCTGACCCTCTGAAGAGCAGCAGGCGTGTGGGGCCAGTGTGGCTGGTAGAGAGTGCCTCTCTCCTCTCCTGATGTTTCTTCAGTTTGGGAACAAATGAGATTGACAGAGGGAGGGAGCTCATGGTGCAGTAACTCTCTACTGAACTGCCCACTGGGATCACCTTTTCACATCATCTCAGACATCCTAAAGTAGCCCCACTGGGTGACACAAGGCCCTGACTCCCCCAGAAACCCCCACACTGATCAGCCTTACAAAATCCAGTCTCCTTAGGGCTGAGGATCATAGAATAATGCACACACATGAAACACACATGCAAATGATTTCTTTTGACTGCAGTTACAAAGTGAAGGCCCTTTCTGAGGGGTGGGAGGGTAACTGGGGTTTTGGATTGAAATGTGGACAAAAATAGCATGTGTATTCTGAACAAATTAAAAAAATTTATAATAAAACTTTGCAGAATGAATGGTTTCAAGACAGTATATATAGTTATAGGCTACACATTATTTAATTCATGAAGTAGAAAAAGAAATTCAGCCCTTTTGATACCTAAACACATCATAAGAAAGTGGAATATGGCTGCCTCTTTTTTCTGCCTCACAAAACAAAGGGCTATTTATACAAGGCAAAGTTTTGTATATGTGTTCTTCTTTATTTCAGATTGTGAATTGGGGAAAGCTGAAACAAATATCAGTCTTCTTTCATGCTTATAAATGTATTAATATGTATATCTTAATATGTTCAAGGCAGGCCTACCTGGAATCAGAGTCTGGAGTATACTGCTTAATTTTATACATGTATGTAGGTGAGATGATTTATGACTGAAAACTGGAATAATGTATTTTGTCAACTAGTCATCAACCTGTTAGGAGTCTTCTCTGTCTTAGGCGGTGGTGTAATTGTGAAATTCTCACTTTGTGTGTGTGTGTGTGTGTGTGTGTGTGTGAAAGAGAGCACTTTCTTCCTGTAAATATCTTTTGATACCCATCTATGTAAAATCCTGATGAATGTGTCTTGAAATGTACAGCATTCTTGTTTTGTTAGTTAATCTAAATGCCCACATAACTCATCAGAAATCTAGTTTAATTCATATTGGGATTCTTTTTTCGAGGGGAGAAAAAGTATGCAAACAAAACTATTAGGAAGAGTCCCATATGAATGCCATTTTATGTCAACATTGCTTTAATATTTTGAATTGACTTGCTGTTTTCTCCCACCTACAAGAGAATGTGCCTGCCATTCCCCTGTGCTCACTGTGGGCTGTAGGGAGTAGCCTATTCCTCCCCACATCATCTGTTCCTTTGACCTGAACTGGATGAAGCCTTACCTGCAATCTATAGTGAGAGCACCTGGATTTGTAGCCCGACTCTGCTTCTAAGTGACATGGGGCCGAGTTGCTTTATCTCCCCGGGCCTTTTTCCTTAAAATGAGTGGGTTAGACCAGCTAAGCTCAGGAGTCCATTTCTGCCCTAACATTCAATTCTATTTTTATTTTCCTACAGTTGGTACTATGGTCAGACATGTGAGATGCCAGGGCACATAGAGGTTAGATGTTATGTTTCTGGTTAATAGCTTACACACTCCACTTTTGAACTTGTCTCGTTTTTAGTGTCCCCACCCCAAATTCTAGTCCCAGTTTCTTGGGTAATTACTTTAATTATCCAATTTTTTTTTCTCTCCACTTCCCAGTTTGTCTTTTATTACCTTTACCTTCTTCCTCAAAGATGAATAATCTGCTTTACAGCACATCTTGCCCTGAAAAACATCAGAACTACCTTCAGCCAACTCTGTAACCTTTATGGAATATTATCTTATTTTAATTAAGTTATAGCTGTGATCCTCAAGTAAGTTTTTCTACCACACAAATGATATCTTTTCATCTGGTAGGCATCATGGTTGCTACATCACATCATCCGTGTGGGGAGATGGCTGGTGTTGGGAGCAGGATGGAGGAACAGGGTTAGATAAGTTGTGATTCTATGCTTTACCTAAGGTCAAAAATTCTAGGTTACAGAACAAGCTTCTGTACCCTTAAGTTGGTGTATAAGATCAGCCAGGCAGTGCCACAGAGATTCCCTACTCAGTAGATAATCCTGAAAGCGTTTGTGTTATGATTCTGTAGACCCATGCGGTTCAGCATAGTTGTCCATGGCCACTTGTGGCTCATGACTGGAAATGTGGCCTGTCCACAATGAGGTGGTGCTGTAGACAGAAAATGCATACCAGATTTGGGAGGCTTAATACCAGAAAGAATGCAAAATATTGCATCAGTATTTTATACTATGTGCTAAAACGACAGTATTTTAGACATATCAAGATATTGATAAAGTTTCACTTCCTTTTAATCTTTTTTAAATGTGGCTACCAAAAAAGACCGAGATTAGACCCGTGTTGTACTTCTGTTGGACAGTGCTCCTCTCGGCCAGGTGCTGTGCGGAGGTAGTAGAGATCATGTAGGCACAGAAGGTAATTCTGCAAAGCATCCATAGAGAAGCAGCACAAACATTTTTATTGGAGTCAGGAGCACTGTGAGGTACAGAATGCCTTCTAGAAAGCAGATTTTTCTACCTAAGAACCAATATATGTATATAGAAGACCCCAAATGAAAACCGGAAACACATGAGCCCAAACCCTGTTCCTTCAGTTTTGCCTAAAAGCTGCTGACTTTGTGTTTCTTTTTAAAGCATCTTCCAGGTGCCAAGGTTATTAGCCACATGAGGGTGTTGGGCAGATTTGTTTCACTTTGGGCAACATTCTCTTGTGGTTTCCCCTCCCCAGGTATTGTTTTCATCTGTTCAGAGCTGGGCATGTTGAAATAAATGTGCAAATCTGGCCGCGCCTCCTGGCCTCTGTGGAGGCTGAGCCTGTGACCTGCACCCATCTGCTCGGCAGGTTTCGATGTTGGTCCCTGAAAAGAGTTGGTGTTTCTTTTGCACTAGTCACAGTTGTTTGAAATATCTCAAATGTTTTGGGAGACTATTTGCCTGTGATGGAAAGAGAGATGGATGATTTATTGCTTCACTTCTTTTAAAATTAAAAGCTATTCTCACAATCTGAGGTCCCTTTTTGTGGCTCTTTTATTTTTTTTTCTTTTGCAAAACTGCCAGGTGAACTGATATTGCCTTTTGCAGGTTCTTATCCGCCAGTGGAACAGGTAACTAATTTTATTTCTTGTTAGGGTTTCTGTGTGTGGGCGCTGGGGCTGCTGGGTCCCCATCAATAGTGGAACATTGGTGATGGCAATATGTTACCTTTGTTAAGGAGGGCGGGGCGGGGCGGGGCGAGTCTGTGATCTCTACTGAGTGCGGAGCTGAATACTGGAATCAGTTAAGACCTTTCTGTGGCTCCCTGCTTCTCATTTTGCTAATGGCTTCCTTAATGTAGGTATGAGCAGCATCAGCACTAGTTGAATCAAGAGTTTTCAGCATTTTTATGACAATATTTCTAGGCTGTATGAGTTTCCTATTGCTGCTGTGACAAATTACCACAACTTTAGTGGCTTCAGACAATACATTAGGTCAGAGGTCTGGAAGTGGGTCTCACGGGGCTAAAATCAAGGTGTTGGCAGGAGGGGAGCTGTAGGGGAAAATCCATTCCCCACTTCTTCCAGTTTGGGGATGCTGTTGGCATTCCTTGGTTCATGATCTCCTGACAGCATTGGCATCACTCCAGCATCAGCTTCTATTGTCATATCTCCTGCCTCTTTCTTACAGAGACCCTTGTAATTACATGCGTTTACCCAGGTAGTCCAGGATAATCTTCCCATCTCAGATCTTTAATCACAGCTGCAATGTTCCTGTTGCCATATAAGATGATTAGGATGTGGACACTTCTCAGGGGGCCTTATTTTGCTTGCTATCTAGGGGATGCTAACTGCTACTTAAAATATGTTCATTTAATGCCTAAAATTTTTTAAAAAGACAAACCTATTTATCTTTAAAATCTAAGTAAAATCAGTGTCATATCATCAGTTTTGGTGAGGGACTCAGAGGAGAAGGAAATGATGGGGATAGTGAGAGGTTGCTTACTGCTTGTGGTTTTAGGACAGTTATTTGCAAGCCAGCTGCTGCTGGTTGGCATAGCCCATCTTGTCCAGTAGCAGAAAGTTTATGTGTATGTGCTGTTTGAACTCATCGTTCAGCTTTTCAGATGTCGTCAGTGATAAACTTCAGTCACAGTGGAGAAATTTAACAGGAAAGTGGTGAGTAATTCTCATCCGTATGTAACCAATTATTTAAAAATCTACCAGGAAGAGACTTTCAGTGAGGTAGAAAGTCAGGGTGGAATAATGGCAAGAGTAGAAGCATATAGACAAGTTCAAATCCTGTTTCCAACACAGACAGACTAGCTCTGTGACTTTGGTAAGTACTTAATATCCTGAGACTCAGTCTTCTCATCTGTTCAGTGGGCATAATACTTTTGATGAGTTGTGTAAAGCATCTGATAGTCTGGTGGACACAGGGTATTTTTACTGTGGTATGTCATCATTTTAACCCATGTAGCATTTTGACTCTGTGGAAGTTTTGACCAGTTGTTTTAATCTAAAAATTAAAAAAAATTAATTACAACATTGACTTTTTTCCAGAATTTTTTTTTGGAGATGGTTCCATTAAGATGATTCCAATTTATTATGTTAATCTGTGTAGCATGGTTCATCATTCAGAAACTACTAACCATCTACTGTGTGCTGGACATTGTTTTTCTTGGACATGTTGTTCAGTCGCTCAGTTGTGTCCAACTCTTTGCAATCCCATGGACAGGATATGTCTTTTCTTGGACCTATCAGTAAACAAAGTAGATATGGGTCTCTGCCCTTGCTAAGTTAATTTTCTACCAAAGAGAGATACTAAACATAAGAAATAAGTAAATGATATATTAAAACTTACTGAGTCTTTTGGAAAAAAAAAATGTAGACCAGGAATGGACATGCACGTTGAGGTACTAAATCAGGGAAGTATCTGACCAGGGAAAGTATCATTTGAAGGTGAGATTTGAAAGAAGACTTGAAGGATGGGAAGGCATCATTCATCCAAATAGATGTCTGGGGCAAGGATACACTTGGCAGAGGGACCAGCTGGAGTAGCAGCCCCAGGGTAGGAATGTATCTGATACGTTGGAGAAGCAGCAAGGGAACCAATGTGGCTGGAAGGGAAGGAGGAAAGTGGGAGCCAGATTGCCTTAGCCAAAGAGGCATTGGAAGGGCTTGGCTCTAGAGTAAAATGGGGAGCCATGAACTGCTCTGCCCGAATTTTCAGGGAGATTGTTCTGTGTTTAGCTGAGATGACAGGAAGACAAGGACAGAAGTAGGGGCTACTGTGGTGAGCAAGGGGAGATACTGATGCTCAGAGGGATGATGGCAGCAGTGGGGGTAGTGTGGATGGGCAATTCTAGATACATTTGAATGTAAGGCCAATAGGATTTGCTGATGGATAGACTGTGGGGTGTGAGGGAATGAGTAGCTAAAGCTGCCCCCAAAGTTTTTGTTCCAAGCAACTGAAGAATGTAGTTGCAGTCAGCTAAGGTGGTGAGGGTGTGGTGAGGTTACAGCTGGTGGTGGAGAAAGGTGATCAGGAGTCTGGCTGGGGACGTGTTGAGGTTCAGGTGCCTGTTAGAGCTCCATGGCTGATGTTGAGTAGGAAGCTGAACATACCATACAACTCCGGACTTTGGATAGAAGTCTGGACTGTAGATATAAAATTGGGAGTGGTTGGTATCTAGATGGGTGGGATTGTCAATGGAGGGAGACCAGAAACAACAAGAGGTCCAGGGACTAAGCCCTTGAACATAAGTCAGTGAGGAGACGAGCCGGCAAAGGAGCCCAGGGACGGGTGGCCACTGTTGTTCCCAGAAACCAAGGGCACAGTGCCTGGAAGTGGAAGCCAAGTGAGGAAAGCATCCTGAGGAGGTGGGAGGGACCAAATAACCGTGGCAGGCTGAGGAAGATGAGTTCACTGTGAGACTGGTCAACTTGGAGTCACGTGTAGTCTCCATGGGAGCAGTTTGGGAGAAGAATTGCAAAACATGAATGCAGACAATTCTTTGGAGGAGTTTTGGTACAAAAGAAAGTGGGGTGGTGACTGCTAAGGGCAGTGAGTGGGATTGAGAGAACTTTTTCCTTTTAAATATGAGAAATAAGATGGTCAAATAAAGAATATGAAGGATGTAGGAGGGAGGGGACAGAAGTGCTGATCCTCTGTTCTTGAACAGCCAAGAGGACATAGAATCTGGTGCCAGAGTTGGAGCTGACTTTAGGCAGGGCCTGGAAGACTTGTGTGTGGACAGGGGGAAGGCAGATGCCATGGTGAGGAGACCAGGAGACGATGCTGAGAGCCTGGGAGTTCTTTCCTGCGTTTGTTTTCTGAGGGAAAGAGGAAGCAAGGTGGCCATCTTAGGAGGGGGTATGAGGGAGGATATGAGGAGAGAGGAAGAAGGTAAGACAGTTAACCAGTTGAACTCTTCCCAGATTTTTACATTTCCCTTTTAGTGAACTCACTTTGTTAACAGTTCTGTAAATTTTAAAACAACAATCTTGAGTCATCAGTTTGTGTTTGGTCCTCATCAGTTTTCCCATTATAACTTGCTATTGAGGGCTTCCCTGGTGCTCTGATGGTAAAGAATCTGCCTGCATTGCAGAAGACCTGGGTTTGATCCCTGGGTCGGAAAGATTCCTCTGGAGAAGGTCATGGCAATCCACTCCAGTATTTTTGCCTGGAAAACCCCATGGACAGAGGAGCCTGGTGGGCTCCAGTCCATGGGGTTGCAAAGAGTCAGACACGATTAAATGACTAACACTTACGGACTGGATACAGTTAGCAGTAGAGCAAAAACTTAGGACCTGAGTGCTCCCTAAGGTTAAAATGACAGTAGAAACCTCTGCCTGAGGACTCTGTACCAGGTAGCTTCAGGAAATGTGAACTAGCTTCCTGTTTCCCTTCCAGAGAACTGGGGCTGAGAAGGCTGCCCTTCTGGGCTCCACCCTCCTGAGTTCAGTGAGCAAACTCGAGCAGAGTGCCTACTGAGAATCAGTAGTTTACTTCCACAGGGCAAAATGCCACAATTAACTATTGGTGCCTGAAGTTCTGATTCCTTAAGCTGATCGCCAGCAGGTGTTAAGTAAGGAAAAAATATATCAGTCCTTTGTGAACTCTGAAGTGCTGCATAGGTAAGGTATTACCTTAAGGAGCCCTGTAAAGAAATGTGAAGAACCATTCAGACCCTGGGCTGCTTTTGTACACACACATGGAGTGAAGCCAGCTATGAGAGGAAATTAATATTCATATTTTAAAAATTGGGGAGGAGGTCGGAGACATAGAGAGGGTTTGAGTTATGCCAGAGGTAGGAGGGGAGCCACAGTTCACCACTAGGTAGATGGGACTTTAGTGCCTGGAGAATAACAGTGAAGCAGGAATGAAAAGATGTACAGCTTAATTTTACAGAGGAGAAAAGAGAATCCCGCCAAGGGTAAGTGTGGCCTCCAACTGAAAGAGACAGGGCACTGAGGAGGGAATCCCCAGCTCCACTTGGCTGGCTTTTTGCTGTTCAAATCTCAGCCCGAAACACCAGGTAAGAGAAACCTTTCCTGACCTGTCCAGATAAAGGAGCCCAGTCACTCTCATTTCTTACTGACCTTGTTGTTCTAAGATGAAGTCTTAATACCCAACAGAGTTGTGCTATGATATGTAATATTTCACTAAATATATAGAACTTACCTTGTTCTTCTGGCACTTTTAATAGATAAGAATGCTGCAAAGTACTTCCTGTTGATATCCAAGCTCTTCAAAGGTTTGATTTACTTACCACTGTCCTGCTCTAGAACAAGACCTGTACTTAGTATGTGCTCAAAGATTTGACCAAAAAAGAAAAAGACCCTAAAACAAATATATTTTAATACTTTTATTCTAAAAGAAAAAGCCCCACAAAAATCCACCAAAGCTCAATTTCAGGTTAAATAATATTTTAGACTTTAACAAAGGAGGAGGATTTTAAAGTTTTTTTAATCTAAAAATGCATTCCTGATTTCCAGATAACTCATGCAAAATTATATGCTATTCAATTATGCTATTCAATAAAAAGACCTTTTAACCAGGAGTACAAATTGGATTGTTTGATTTGAAGCAATTCTGATCCCTGTATCCCATTTTGAAAGATTTGAAAAGACCTTGAAGCCACAGACAAAGTTTATTTGAAAACATAGTTTAAAATTGCACAAATATAAATACAATTTAATAATGTGAAAAAGGGGAAGGCATGCTTCCATTAAGTACAAAAATACTACCTTAATCTTGGTACTTTGCAAATTATAAGCCAACAGAGTAAATTAAACACATCAATCAATATGATAAGAGATTTTTGTGGTAGTAATTTTATTTCAAAGAGCAATGCAGGGAAATACTAAGATGAAGTCTTAATACCCAGCAGAGTTGTGCTATGATATGTAATATTTCATTAAATATACAGATACATTGTCATGTAGTATGCCAATAAATTTAATACCCCACCCCTACTGTCATTAATTTACTATAGGTCACTTAATTTGGGTTGGTTTTAATTTAAAAGCTCAATGTAAACATTTAAGAGGTTAATTTTTTTCTGTTGTCTACTGAGGTTAAAAATGAAATCCCAAGATTTTAAACATAACTGAGCATGATAAGGAAGCATCACAGAAGAAGTTGTCCCAAACAGTATTTTAGATTAGATATGCAATATTCATAGACGTATAAAATATATAGAAACATCTCTTCTAAATAGTTAACAAATGCTTGTTATAGTTTGTAGAAAGCTTAGTAAATTAATCAGGTTTATTTTCAACAAATGTAAACAAAGTTGGACAATGAAAATTGAAGAGGGTTTGGGTTATATGATATGGGGGAATTGAAAATAAATTAGTAAAACTTAGGTTTGCTGTTTCCTTTGTCTACTGGTAACACGTTCAGTCATGAACATCTTTCTCATGTAGCACAATTCCTTTCTGGTATTTTTATATATCTCATTGAAAAGGCCAAACTACCTCATTGAGTGTGTATATTCCTTCCATTTCCTTCTCTAAGAAAGAAAAATCCACATTTTATGGTAAGTAAAGAATTGCCTCATTCATTATTTTCCATCTTATTATTTTGAGTACAGGTTTCTGAAAGTGTTCCAGTGAGCCTGTCAGGTTTTGCTGTGATGCTCTACAACAAGAGTTCTTTATCAGAGAGCAGTCCTAAGAAAACAGTTTTGAGATCGGGGCACTTATTTCCAGAGTGTGCTATTTTGGTATTTCTGCAGAGGGTGCAGGTAGTGGAAACTTTATTCAAGGCAAAATACCACCTGAGAGGACAGTTTGTGAAATCACACACTTTAGTTTTCTTTTTTTCCCTCCTCTTAACTGTTTAATGCTTCCACACAGTGGGCTTGGTGCTCACCTACATGTGTGTGGGGATATGAAGTGGACAAAGCTGGCATAACATAGGATGCCACTACTGTCTGACTGAGCTTCGCCCCCCGCCCCCTCCACTTCTGGTCTCCTTGTCCTTATTTTTCCTTAAAGCAGGTGTCACAGAAAGTCAGTGAGAAGACTTCAGAGTTTGTTCTGAGTGACTGTGAAGTCACCTCATCAACCTTGAATGTCAGTGTGTTTACACAGATTGACCACGTCCAGTTTCTTAAGGGATGTGGCCCCAAGTAGCTCACTTACCATACCAACAGGGCTGTGTTGAGGACAGTGGTGTGATAGATGCCCCACCCACTACGTGACATTTGTGGAAATTAAGACCCTGTGTCCACTTTGCCTTATGATGTTTTTCATGCACCTGATGTTACCCTGACCTCCCCACCTTATTAAGAATGTCAGCATTTCTAACTTAGAAAAAATTTGAAGTGCACTCTTAAAATTGTGCTGAGGCAATCAATATGCTTTTGTTTAGTAGCATTCAGACATGTGGATTTTGTTTTGGGTCTGTTGTGCCTCAACTGCTTTTTAAAAACTGTTCGGATGTCTAAATATCAGGTTTCCTTACAGGATTAGTTTGGCGCTGCTGCAACACTGCACTGCAGAAACCAGCTGTGTGAATCTCTAAAGTTTGGTGTAAACAGCATGAGAACAACCTCAAGGATAGGATACTAAAGGTAGAAAAACTGGAACACAAAGTTCATGGAAATGCTCCCTGTTCAGAAGCAAGGAAAAAATAAGCTAACCTATGAGACTTAATCATGCATAGGGTAAATTTACATTCAGTAAAGTTATCTTGCATGCTTTGGTTAATATTCGAGTAGGCAGACTTTGCAAGTACTAATGCATGCGTTATCTCGGTACCTGAGGTTATATGTTTTACTTTTTAAAAACTGCCTTTTTACAAACCTTATGCCAGAGTTCAGATAGCTATAAACACTCTTAAAAAATATATAGGTCTATCTACTTCTTAGTTCAAACAGTTTAATTTCAACCAGTTCTATAAATACTGAAATAAGGAAATTGTGCAGTAAAATCTGGCGAGGGAATACATTTGAAATTATTTTTACAAAGTTGAAATCATGCGTGTACATGTGTAATAATTCCTAAAACAGGAGGCCTCAAGAAGATGGCACACAAATGAAGCCTTCCAAACACCCTGTTACTAGAATGCTTCTAGAAGCATTTCGAGCAAAAACAATCACCATAGCAACAACAACATACAGACCAGTTCTGTGCAACTGATTCAGGGACAAATGAGGGACACAAAATGATCATTTTGCTTCTTCTGTTTCTGAGGCACACAGACAAATCTTATGGTACAGAGTTTGGGAGCTCCTGTTATAAGTAGGACTAACTACAGTTGTATTCAAGTCTTGCCTGTATAGCACAAATATACTAAAAAGACTTATATTAATGACTAGACACAGACCTAAGATTTAACATAATAGTTCTCATAAAACAGAATTAAGTAGTTCTCTTTAATAATAGAGACAGAACTATTATGTTAAAGAAAGAGGAAAGCAGCATAAAATTGAAAGTGAGTGGGTCCTGGACATTCCAACCCAGTTAACTGTCACAAATTTGCCATTCTAGTTGGAACACAGATTGGCTGAGAAAGCACACCTCAGTTTTCTACTAAACATTTCCTGGTGGATAAGATCTGCCTTTCTTTCAAGGAGTCATGGGCATTGAGTGGGAGAAAGCAAAGGGAATGATGACTCAATGTGATAGGCCCCTTATTTTCTCCTTTTCTCTACTCCTCCTCTGCCTCATTGTGAAGGTAGAGGAGCACATGGAAATAGCCCAGCAGACACAGTTATAACATTTTGAAATTCAGCAGTGATCACTGGCCATCTCTGCAGTTTCATCCTATTTACTAGTGAAACTGGTCCTTGAAAGTCACATGAAATGGAGTGGTAAAATAGTAAAAATAGTAAAATAGTAAAATATTACC